CTGGTCTTAAGTCAAAAATTGAAGTGTCCTTGCATGGATCCTCCTCTTAGCTCCCCAGATTGTCCATTTAGCTTAACACACTCATGCATAATCTATATCTCATGGAAATTTTATTAAGTAATGCCTGTAAGAGCATTTGGCATGTTGCCTTGTACATAAAACTCATTCAATAAATAAGAATAGTCATTGGCTGTCTTAATAATATTATTTAATTAAATTCTTTCCCAGTAACCACCATTAGTAGCTACTCTTATTTTTCATGCCAAAAACGAGGAACCTGAGGATCTCAGATATCAAGTAACTTGCCCGAAGGCGCACAGCTGCTAAGAAGCAGAAACTGGACTTTACTGCGGGGGCTTTCATCATTAGCTTTACAACTTGTAAGAGTAATTCACATTGAAGTGTGACTGTTGATAGACTGAATCCTCCTGGGATATTTGCCTTTCACAAATAACAGCTTGTTAATGGAAGACAATGTGGCATGTCTTTGAGGTTTTATCAGGGAGACTTCCTTTTATTTCCTGTGTGCATTAGGACAAGAACTTTGCCAGTTGTAACTATGTTAATGCAGAAGTCATAAGGCATAAACAAATAAAAAACCTTAAAACAAACCACACATTAAATTTCCTGTAGTGAAGGAAATGTAATATGCTTCTGCTCTAATATCCCACTATTGCAATTCTCAATTATAAACTAATAATACCATTTTTTCAATGTCAAATTTAGCAATACTCTTTTAAAGTGTTACTGTTTTCTGACCAGTGTAGAAACTATAACACAGCTAAAATTAGCAGTCGCTTTAATATTTTTTCCAAAAAAAAATGGTGATAACAGTTTCTGTCAATTTGAGGAAACCTCATCATTTAGTTTAGAAACTGTAGCACTTAGCAGTTTTGAAAGAAGTTTAATTTTGATAATTTTGAAATAGTCTGTTGAAAATCAAGGCTCATAAGTGGTCATGCGTTTCAGGGAAAAATAGCTTACATTTCCAAATTAGACCC